GCAAGGAGTGGTACAACTTCTCCTGTCTCTCCAATGGTAAACGGCAGCCCTTCAGCTGGGGATGGATCACCTTTGACCAGCTCACCTCTGCCTGTATCTCCCCCAAGGGCTCCCTCTCTGACTTTGTCACCTGTGCCTGAGGTCCTGAGAGAGACGGTGGGGTCATCCCATCTTCCAAACAAGGCCACCCCAACCGCGGCCTGCCATCCTGTCCCCACACCCCAGCCTGCCCCCATCACTGGCCCTAAAACGACAGTGATCTCCCCTGTCCAGAACGGTAACTCCCGCTTCTGTCGGCTGTGCAATATCAAGTTCAGCAGCCTCTCCACATTCATAGCTCATAAGAAATACTACTGCTCTTCCCACAGTGCAGAACATGTCAAGTGAGCCAAGCAATTATCCTCTTCCTGCCCCTCTACCCTTCCTTTATCTTTCTGAGTGGAGGCTTTGCTTCCCTAAGTTCCAAGAAGCTCAGTTGTCCCTCCTCCTCTGCCAGTCCTCCTACATGGGTGCCAAAATGGCACTCAGCTGGCACGATCATGAATGACAATGAATGACTGTTACTCACCTGGCAGGGCCTGATGCCTACTGCTCCAGAGCAGAATTTGCAGGTGGTGTTACTAACATATATTAACTGATATTCCTCCTCCTATGGGTCAACGTTTATAGTACACTAAGAGCTGAGACGGATTCTACCTGCACACACTGGTGTGACCTCGTCCCATTGATCACTCTCTTAGTACCCCAGTCCCCAATTCAATATCTACCACTCCCAGGCCTCACAGTATGTTGCATTATGGGACATTAAAAAAATCTATGTAAACAACCACTTTTCTGTCTCTCTGTTGAACTGAGTTTATAATGGCAGTAATTAGATTCTGATTCAGGCATTTCGGACTGATGATGATTCAGTAATGATGATGCTGATTATGATGAATCTTCGGTCTTTTCCTGAGCTCTTAATGTTCCAGACCTAAACGGAGGAATCATTGTGTGGAAAAGACTTGATCATTGTTAATGTTTTTATTTGTGCATAGTGTATGATGTCTGAAAAAAAGAATTCTATAATGCTTTTGGTTTCAACACTGGCTCTTTTTTGCTTTCTAGAGAAGCAAAAGCGTTTTTAGCTGAAAAAGAAATATGCGGTATCACAATGTTACTAATTACTGAATGATAATATTTCAAAATGGACAGTTTTTCTTTTTTTTCATACACACAATTTTTTATTTTCTCTTTAAAATGCAAGGGAGAAAAAAAAAGTGAAATATTTATCTTCTATCTTTTAGTCCTCACTGATTTCATGTCAACAGAAAACTACCTACCTGGTGTCTGAGAGTATTTGTATTTTTTATTTGTATATTTTTCATACTGTTGGAAGGAACTATTTGGATCTGGGTGTGTTGAAGTGTATTTTCTAAGTGTAGATATGTAATATCTTCTCACAGTAATCACTGGGATCACACTGAACTTTATTATCACGTTAGCATTTGGTGTTCTGTTTATGTAGTCTTTAATTGAAGGTGAGGTCTGAAAACCAGCGCTGTGTTTATTTTTGTCCCCTCTCGTACCTTGCTACACGATAAGATCAGAACAGCTTCCTCACTTACAGTTTTTCACATCAGAAAGTTGAAGAGAGTGCTTCTGATAACGTTTATACTTTGGTGAGAATGATGTAGCCTCCCAGAATTTAGGGTATACAAAATTAAAATGTATCTTTAGTTAACCAGCCTCCACACCATAAAAAATCTGACCTTTAAGAGTATGCAGCTTTACATTCTTTGTTGCAAACAGCCATTTCAGACGAATACTGAGGGATACATAAAACACATCGATGTCTAATACTCATATTAAAAGATGGTATTTTTCTTTTTAATGGCTGTGTTTCTGTCCGGCAATGAAGGCATAGCAGGGAATGGTCCCGTCTTAGCGTAACACCTCACACAATAGAGTAAGCACATATATTATAACCACTTATTGTGGACCTTTGTGTGTGAGAGAGAGGCTGCACTCTTCCTCTCTCACTTTATTGCTCTCACACTCATGCACACATATTCACACGCAGTTTACACCACACGTTCCCATGCTGCTGTTGCAGTTGCAATACATATTCATTCGAACTGTGAAATCCTTTTTTTTCCAATATTGACGCACACCTCCCCACATAAGACTCATCTTACATCATTTTGAATTGAAGCTGCCTATAGCCAATATTGCAACCAGATGCTGAATGGATTGAACTCTTGTCAGTACAAGAGACCAATCCGCAATTTTTGATGAAATGCTAATATGTCTAACTGTAAAGCTACAAACACAGGACAGATCTGGACCTTTGTTTATTCAGTAGTAGCATTAAAACACCTACACATACATGCACATACCCCATCTGTCTCTTCCCAACTGGAAACCAAATGTAAAAGTGAAGGATTATTATTTTTTTTATTTTTTTTAGATAAATCAAAATTACTGGTTGATTTTCTGCTGTGCTGTAGTTTGGAGCAGCACTGTACCAGACACATCTTACTACTAAGTGTTTACAATTGTGCTGGTCTATCTCTCTCACTTCCTGAAGGTAGATGGAATAAGCAGAAGACAGTCACAGAGTCAACTAGTCACAAATTGAGGAACTGAGTGCTGGAAAATCATCCTTTAAACTTACCCCCATTTAATTGCACTGTGTTGTATAAAAATGTGCTGAATGTTTTAGTTTTAGGGACATTTTTTGTAATGTATTTATGTTATGCAGAACTTTTCCCCGTCCAAAATGCGTCATCGTTCTACCTTGAAGGACTTTAAAAGATTTTAACCCTCCCAGAAATCTCTTCTTTTTTTTTTCTTAGTTGCAAACATGTTTTCTTAATGATTCCTCTGATGTCCAGTCCATAATGGAGAAAATCACCACGAATGTCAAAACTTTTATTTCCATATTTTTAATTTAATTTCAGTTCCACTACACTCTTGTCCAAACTATGCATGGGAAATAAAAAAGTTCTGAGAGACACTGACGATGAGTGTGACTTCACTTCTTTCTTGTGAATTGCATGTTTTTCGTGTTCACGCTCATGCATAACTCATGTCATGAACCTGAGTGGGAGTCCTTGACTTTCGGAGGTGCCTACTTCGCGTTAGTTCATGTGTAGTCACTCATAAATCCCTTCCTTTCATAAGAAAGTTTCAAGTGTGCTGTTTTTGTTTTATACTGGCTTGTGAAGAAAGGCTGAATGAATCATCAGCTTTCCTTTTAAAATAATGTGCATGAGTAATAGAACCTGTCACAAAAAATAGCTTTTTGTGCCCAATCAGCACTCCAAGGCTGCTCCAATCAATGGCAAAGTGCACCCACAAAACTGCTACCTTTAACTTGCATGCAGACAAAATGAATTGATTCATGTTTCCAACTGTCTTTCCTGGAACTGTGTTTAAACCTTCAATTGTGGGATATGCATTAATGTATCCCTGTTGTGTTCTGGAAGCAGTTTCAGCTAATATTCAACATGTTAGAAGTGTTGTGTGTGTAAATGTTCGCATCAATGATACACAATATCCATCTTGGTACATTATATGCTATAATAAACATAAACAAACTAGACCACTTGTAAGAATGTGGGCAGATCTTCATTCATTTTACAAAACTGAAGATTTCCTGGAATGCTTTAGCATTGATGGCTGAGGCACAATGGCACATATTATCTACTAGTATTATTATACTTTAACACAACTTGAAAGACTTGAAGTACTTAAAAAAATTGCTTTTGAAAACGTGTGTAATAAACTGCTCTAATATACCAATGAACTAATAACCTGACATAAATCATTAGCTAGCTAATTAGCTATAAGATTTAACAAGCTAGCTAACAATTAATTTAAGATTAGACTTTATTGATTCCACACTGGGGAAAATTAGCTTGTTAGCATATAGATTAGCTAACTAGCAAGCTAATGATTGATGTAAATTAACTAACTAATTCATTAACTAGCTAGTTAGCTAGCATTTTCTTAACATTAGCCAATTTAAGATGTGACTTTATATATGCCGCTTTTATCTTTTAACCATCTTCAAAATGTGGTTGTCTTTTCAACATAG